CTGGGACCACAGGCGCCCGCCACAACACCCGGCTATTTTTTGGTTGCAGCCGTCATTGTTGTTTGGCGGGTCCGAGCTGGGGATTCGAACCCACCACCTTAGGTGTACGTGGCTGGCGCCTTAGCCGGTTGAGCTATAGGCACTGAGCCAGGATCTTTGTTCTTAATTCTGATGAGAAAATGTGTCCTGTATGTCAGCCAGGGGAGTAGGACTAACCTTCCCACCCTCATTTCAGCATTCAGTGATGGTATGTATAGCTGCCTCCTGAAAAGGTATAGAACTCAGGGAAATCGGTTGTTGAACATTCAGGGGTCATTCTTAATTTTTTTTTTAGGTATCAAAATGTGTGGCCGGGTTGTATCCTTGGCTGGAGAGAATGAACTGGGAGTTATAGACATGGGTACCATTTTTTTTGTTGTTGTTGGAGGCAAGTCTTACTCTTTTGACCTGGAGTTGAGTGCTGTGGCCTCATCATAGCTCACAGCAATCCCAAACTCCTGGCCTCCTCTCTAGCTGGGACTATAGGTGCCTGCCACCACACCTGGCTAGTTTTTCTGTTTTTGGTAGAGATAGGGTCTCTCTCTTGCTCAGGCTGGTCTTGAACTCCTGAGCTCAAGTGACCTCCTACCTTGGCCTCCCAGAGTGCTTGGATTACAGGTGTGAGCCACCAAACCTGGCCTGGCCATAGTGTTTTGAATGAATTGTTTTGTTTATATAGGTGTTGACTTTCTCAACTATAAAATTGGAATTTGGTCTGTACAGTTTCTGTGTTCTGTTCATGAGTATTACAACAGCAGTTCCTGTATACCTGTGGTCTTCTTTACTCCCCTGAGTTACCACTAGCTAGAGCAACAGTTCTCAACTTGTGGGTCACGACCCACAGGAACTATATTAAAGGGCTGTGACATTAGGAAGGTTAAGAACCACTGAGCTAGAGCCTATATCTAGCCCTATGTACAGAGACCCCTACTTGTCTTGACTGTGCTGTGTGTAGCCCCCTCTCTGTTCCTCAGTTATCTTGTGGGTCTGCGTCTGTGGACTGTCCTCTTTTGGAAAACTCTTGTCCAG